CCGCACGACTCTATGCCTGACGCGACAGAACGCGCTGGACCGTGATGGAGCGAGTCAGATGCGTAACTAATGGCCATCAGACTCCTTCCTTGATTCCTTGCATCCTGGGGAGACTCACTGTGCAGCAAACTGACCTGGCACCGTGCGGAGCTAGAGGAACATGAGCGCGTTGGAGGAGCAGCCGTGGTCGTGCCGAGAAGGTTCAGCCTGATGAAAGCGCGGAGCGGGAAGCGAGGTACGTATGTAATCGCAAATCCACGTGATCGAGAGAAGCGGGGGCCCCCATGGAAGCTCGCACCTGGACTTGCAGATCAACGGGCGCAGACAAGAAAAGCAACAGGCTGCAGGCTGCAGGCTGGCGTAAAGTCCAGTCTCAGCCTCAGCCAGCCGGTGCACCTTTCACGCTGGCGTCGAGGAAATCGAAACCTGCCATCAGCCCCAAATCCTGTTGTCTTACCTCTGAATGATGTGGCTTGTTGGTGCGCCCGCTGCCCTGTGCTCCCCCACAGAGGCCGGCGACGTCACCGCCGCCCGCCAGCGAGCATTTTTGGGCTGCGCGTGTTTGGCAACAGGCTCCTCGCCGACGCGACCTCAGCACTGTGCACTCGTCCTGACCTCTGTGTGGCCCGACCCAGCCCATTTCTTCCAATCTTTAGCTCCCGCAGCCCGGCCTCGCCGCCAGCACGCTCCCTGGCCTGGTATTGTTCTCCTCAACGCTACCCGACACCCGCATCCCGGTGGGTCTTCTCAGCGCAAAATCATTCTTTCGTCACCCAAGCCGCCCGAGCCAATTTCTTGCAGCTCTTATCGCTGCCGCGCCGCATAAACCTGCCCGTCATACCACTGAACGTGCCCTCTCGCTTTTTCGGTAGGTAACCGACGCCAACCCTTACACCCGCTTCACAAACTCTCCCTACCTCGCGCCATTGCTGGCAGCCCATACAGTTCCCCTCTAGCAACCCCAGCATTCCATACCTACAACAGAATCTTCTAGTACTCGAACGCGCCAATATGGCAACCCCAGCACCCACCAAGTTGGTGCGGCGCCACACGACAGAAGGTCGCCTGTTGCTGGTCTCGAATCGCCTTCCTATAACCATCAAACGCTCAGATGAGGGCAAGTTCGACTTCTCTATGTCCTCTGGTGGCCTTGTCAGTGGGTTGAGTGGTCTGTCAAAGTCCACTACTTTCCAATGGTATGGCTGGCCGGGTCTAGAGATTCCAGAGAAGGAGGCCGCCACGCTGAAGACTCAGCTCAAAGAAGAGTACAATGCAGTGCCAGTTATGCTTGATGATGAGCTGGCAGACCGTCACTACAACGGTTTCTCGAGTAAGCTACGCGCAAAGCACACATTGCAAAGTTCATAGCTGACCCGCAGACTCCATCCTTTGGCCGCTCTTCCACTACCACCCCGGCGAGATTACCTTCGACGAGTCTGCATGGAACGCTTATACCGAAGCCAATCGCTTGTTTGCGAAGGCTATCGCGAAGGATGTACAGGACAACGACATGGTTTGGGTTCACGATTACCATCTGATGCTTCTTCCTCAAATGCTCCGGGAGGAAATTGGCAACACGAAGAAGAATGTGAAGCTGGGCTTCTTCCTCCACACTCCCTTCCCTAGCTCTGAGATCTACCGCATTCTGCCTGTACGGAACGACATACTGCTTGGTGTTCTGCATTGCGACTTGATCGGATTTCACACGTACGATTATGCACGCCACTTCCTGAGCAGTTGCTCTCGCATCTTGTAAGTCGAACGCAAGTGACACCATTTAAGAGTATACTAACGTGATCTGAGGGGTCTTGCGACAACACCGAACGGTGTAGAATTCCAAGGCAAAGCGATCACTGTTGGCGCGTTCCCCATTGGCATCGACCCCGAAAAGTTCGACGAGGGACTCCAAAAGCCCAAAGTGCAAGAGCGAATCGCAACCCTGGAGAAGAAGTTCGAAGGTGTGAAGCTCATCGTAGGAGTGGACCGCCTAGACTACATCAAGGGAGTACCTCAAAAGCTCCATGCGTTCGAGGTCTTCCTTACCGAGCATCCCGAGTGGATAGGCAAAGTTGTTCTCGTCCAAGTCGCTGTGCCCAGTCGACAAGATGTCGAAGAATATCAGAACCTCCGCGCCGTTGTTAACGAGCTCGTCGGACGGATCAACGGCAAGTTCGGCACTGTCGAGTTCATGCCCATCCACTTCATGCACAAGTCGGTTTCTTTCGACGAGCTCATTGCCCTCTACTCCGTCTCCGATGTGTGCCTTGTTTCATCAACACGCGACGGTATGAATCTTGTGTCATACGAGTATATTGCGACCCAGGAGAAGCGTCACGGCGTCATGATTCTTTCCGAGTTTACTGGTGCTGCGCAGAGTCTAAACGGCAGCTTGATCGTAAATCCCTGGAACACTGAAGAGCTGGCGGATTCCATTCATGACGCCGTTACCATGAGCAACGAACAGCGTGCCTTGAATTATGATAAGCTCTCGAGATACATCCGAAAGTACACTAGGTGAGGATTCCAAGTACACTACAATAATTTCACGGCTAACCCGATCTAGTGCATGGTGGGGGCAATCCTTTGTCCAAGAGCTTACGAGGATCTCTGAGCAAGCAGGGAGAAAGGTCAAGTTCGCACCCCGAGCCGAGATCAAGGACGAAACGACTAGTATCCCAGCCAATGCAAGCGCGTCTATGGATGGCCAACCTCCAGCGCCTCAGCAGAAGAAAGATCAGGACCTAGTGGTCAACCCTTCTTAGGTATGTGGTAAAAGTTTGCATATGAGACGGAATGGTATCATGAGCACGAAATGGCGTAAATATGGCTTCTTCTCGCTTCATTTTGAGCGGATCATTGCATGGCACTTCGGCGCATAGGACATGATTAGACAAGCGACAAGGATGTCCCCCGAAGACAGAGGTGCGGTGCAAACCACCCTAGATTTCCTCTTTCCAGAGTCCTCCTATACAGACGAGCTTTGCATTTGCAATCTATACCCCTTTCGAAGTCTGTAAATCCTGTATTTGTTAAGTATGTCATTGGTGCAGCCTGCAACTCTCGCGTGGCCGGATCCGCGGCATCCTATGCACGTTGGTCCCGTTTCGGATTTCGACATACGTCTTGTTGACGGTGTTCTTACCTAAAATTCGGTTGCGCACCCGAATCCGGCCGCGGAAAATGCGTGCAAATCGCTCCCAACTTTGACAGAAGGTGTATGCAATGGTTATCAGCGTTGTGTTAATATGATGAGTGTGTTGTGTCGCGCTGAGTCCGGGTTCTATACAAGCTCATACACTTCAAAGCTGTATCGCACAAGTAACTGGTGCGCATAATTCCTCGTCCGCGTCCAATTTTCAGTGAAGGTAGATTCTGGGGTAGCTTATCCGCTTCGGCTACGTCGGCTGTATAATTTCCAAGGCACGGCAACGTGGGAAGGCCAGCTTTGGCGGAGCTTCATCAGTCCGTTTTGGACAGGGCTCTGGGTTGCACCCGACAATGTAAAACCTAGCGATAATGGACCTTACGCTGATGGCTAATTAGACGTTGCAAATTAAGGAAGAACGATGAGTGGGTAGCGTTGAGTCGGGGTGTTGTGGTTTGGTAGTATAATTTTCCCTTAGCACGTGACGGGTAGAACTACAAGTCCCCTTCACCTTCAGACTACTATACGTCCCATCTTCAAAACGCCAAGGCTCTAGTTTTGACAACAGTTTAAAGGATAATTCTCTCTTTTTGCGTATTAGAATGGCTGGAAATGAAGTAAGGTCTTTGGTCGTGGTCCTCTAAGCTTCATTTCGGCGAGCCCTCGTAACGAGACCTCTGATAGAGACCGTGATTATCAAAGTGTCAGGGTCTATGGATGGCCTCAGCGACTCGAGAAAAGTTGCTCGTAGGACACCATAGCTCAGCGGCTTTTTTTTTCTCTTTCCCGTAGAGGGGTGGTCTCTGGTGGCTCCTTTATTGTATCGTCTGCCGACACCGCTGAGCGGGGTTTGCTCACAACAACATGGAACCGGTATTAGGTTGTATGCAGCAACACGACGCCATCGACTGCATTATCGTGGGGCCCAGCTCACAACATCACCTAGAACTCGTATACAATCGGACTGGGATTATCTTATGTTCGTTTGCACTTTACATCTTCTGGGCGCAAAAACCATATCAGATTTTGCATGAAATGAATAAGAATTACGATTTGAAACCAATAACTTAGAGTAGGGACATCAGAGCGGTTGAAGAAACCTCGAAATGTCATCAAGTGTGCCCAAAATAAGGTGGTTGTCTCTATATGGACGTCTGGCATACCAATCGAGAAGTACACGGCTCGATTTACGAAGGGATGGAAAGTCGTGATGAGGAAACTAAAATTACGTAGATACGTATTACTAGTTAGTATCCTGATTAGGACATTTAATTGTAGTCTGAAAAGGGAAAGAAGGGCGTAAATAATAAGAAATGTTGTATATGTCTAATTCTAATGTTTTAAACTATAAGACTAATTAGCTTCTTGAAAAGCAGCTAGCTCCTATGGCTAATGATATTTAAGTTTGACTCATCGAGGAGGCCTGGTATTATAGGTGCGTGAAATGGCAGCCTGAATTCTCCGTGCTTGCTCGCAGGGTGTTGGGGTAGTCGGTGAACCGTGAGCCATGGTTCGAAGCATGAGTTGTATACGTACAAGTAGTCCATTAACACAACACAACGAAGACTTCTAATCTCAAATGGTACCAGAAAGGAGATGTGTGATGATCGCAAGATTATTCCATAGCTGCGTGGAGTCAGTAGCAGTCGCAGCAATAGCATCCGAGGCAGGGAGAACAATGTGATTGTGCTTCCGCTCTAGCGTCATACGATGCCCCGCACAGCCCCGCAATCATGCCTCATACCCCCTGGGAGTCATGACCGTTCTTCAAGGATTTTGACCAAACACATAAGTCTTAAAAAGCCTAAGTATAGAAGTTCAATAGGGACGATTCCTCATCAATCACGTGTTACGAGGCACTTTGGCGGAGTGGTTATCGCGCAGGCCTGCTAAGCCTGTTCCTTCGGGAGCGTGAGTTCGAATCTCACAGGTGTCGTTATTTTTTTGGGGAGGTTCCTATGCCAGTGTCCCAAACGTTACGCCACTTTTTTTTCTCCCTACATATCGACTGGTATCGACTGAGGAATATTAATCACGCCATTGCTTCACGAAATGATCTTCCACGAATCTACACGTGGACCATTGGTCTGCACATGCTAGAAATGAATTACCGATTCTTCCTATATCTTTCTCACACCTATCACCTCTTCTTTGATCCCCTCCCGCCTCTCGCACTTTTCTTCCCTTTCTTAGGATTTACAGTTAGCCCTCCTCCATCCCTCCCACCAGCCATCATAACTCTAACCTTCGCCACGCTCACCACACTGACTACCTCCGTCTCCTTCCAGCCTCGGATCAGCTCCATCTCCCTTGGCCAGATGCGCTCTACATCCTTGCTATGTTTGTCTGTTGCCTTTGCATCTTTGCCAGCATTATCCCACTTAGAGAGAATGTCTTTAACAGCTTTCCCACGCTTGAGGGAACCCGGTTGCATCTTGGCTTTGTACTTATAAGTGGCGAGAGCTGACCACGGGGCACATATAGGAATGGCGGAGAGAATCTCATCTTCTGGAAGGGGGCGACCGGTGAAGGCGTCAAGATTGAGGAGATTGGAGACTAGGGTTTCGTCGTCCGCGCCGTCATCTACTTCTTGAGCATTGCCTTCATTTGCGGAGCGGCGGGCTTCTTCGGCTGCTTTGCCAGTGGCTTGGGCGCGGAGGTGCTGTTCCCGGCGCCGTTGCTTGTTCGCTGCGGCTTCTTCCTCTTTGGATCGTCTCTCTTGCGCTACCGATTCTGCTACACTGGGACCTGATTGCACGCCAAGGAGACGCAATGCAAGCTGCCGATCTTCTTCGTCCTGGTCAGCATATTTAGCTGCGAGCTTCTTTGCTTTGCCTCGCTTGCCGCGTGGAAGAGGGCCCTTGCTTGTCTTCGAGGCTTGAGAAGTGACGGTTGCAGGGGCCTTGGGTGCGGAAGTTAACTCATCACCAAGATCAGATGCCCCATCGCTCTCTGCTTCGGCATTTATAGCCGATGCTGAATCGGAGGGCATTGATAGAATTCCTTGCGAATTTCCTTTCTTCAATAACTTCCTCTCTTTTGCTGATAGGTGACGGCGTCCGGTGTTTTGCGTCTGTTCTGAATCTGCAACAGACCCTGCATCATCCTGAAGAGCTTTACTTGCTAAATTAGCCCTTCCTGACCGGGAGGCTGCGTTTTGAGAAGCTGTAGCTTCTACATCGTCTTCGTCATCCGAATCTGCCGCACCATGTGCTGCTTGTAATGGGTTGACATGTGTTGCAGTCTCTGACTCTGCGTCGCTATCGTCCGACTCTTCGAGCCTGGTATCAGGAAACTCATCTTCTGATTCGGACGCAGGCTTCGCATCCGGAAAATCTTCGTCACTGTCGCTACCTGTGTCATTAACATCCTTGACTACCGTCGCTTTCCCTTCACCTTCAATCAGCGTTTCAGCAGAAGGGACAGGATCGTTGACGCGGTGCTTTCGATGTCGAGCCTTGCTCTCCTCACTGATCTCAAACATGACAGCCAAACCAACAACTAGCTGAGCTGGCGGCAGGAACTCCTTCCTCCCTGTGATGTTGAACAGCCCTGTCGCCAAAAACTCTCCGGTTTGCCCGATCTTGCTGACTTGATCAGCCTTGACCCACCACGCGGACATCACAGCCTTTGAATCCCATGCTTCCGACGTGCAGACGGAAAGATGCCCGGCTTGCGAAAGTGTCGATGGAGGTATCGGAGAGTCCGGTGTGTTGGGATTGTTTTTGATGACCATGGGCACTGCACCTTTGAGGTCTGCATGAACATAGACATCGCCCTTGCGTAGGTATTTACGATAGATAATCTCATTCTGTGGGCCATCTTTGCCACCAAGAACAAGATATCCGTCGGATGAAATGAAATGAATGAACTTTTCAAACCACTGCTGTCTGCGCACGGGTCTAAGCACCTCTTTCTCTTGTTTGAGGCCCTTTTTCAAATCTTCAGCCACTTTGCGCTCATGAGCCTTCATCGCCCTTTCAGATGCTTCAATAGTACGTGCCTCCTTTCCCTTAGCAGTCTTCTTCTGGTCAAAATACTCGCTGGAGTTCTTGTATGCAGTCAGACCCAGGTCGATGTCAATGGCGAGCTTGGGTTGCGCTACTGGCTGCGACGAAAGGTTTTTCTTCTTTTCTTGTGGCGACTCATCCTCATCGTCTGTCTCACTAGCGACGGAACTGCTGTCATAGCCTTCATCCTCGTCCTGTTCTACTTGGTCCTCATTCGACTCTTCCAAGAGCAGGGTAACTGTATTTTCGTGTAGCTTCAGGGGAAGCCTGATGAGCTGTGCCACGGGGTTGTCCTGTTCCTGCTCTCGTTCGATCAGGCGCGCTATTTCGCCCCAGTCCATTCCTTGCCCAATTAATCCATTGACAGCAGCGATAGCTTCCTCAACCCGATGAATATTGGCTAGGATGGCCTCCGCTTTACGAAAGTTAAGCTCTTGAGTCTGCTGCAATCCTCCAATACGGCTTTCATGTTCCTTTCGTGCTTGATCTAGCTTCTTTCTCGCGTGTAGCTCGCGCTCGTGCAGTTTTGATTCTAGCTTCTGACCTTCAATCGAAGAGAAAAATTCGTCGACCGTTTTATTAAACCCATCAAATTCCAAGAATGTGTACTCTGACTGTTTGAACTGCTGCGGTTGAAAAGGATGGAAGTCGTCATAAAGAACGTTAGTATTGTTCGAAGGATCTGCTTCTTCTTTAGGCGCTGCGGGATTGGGTTTTGCTAAGATATAGCCCTTGATCTGCTCCGAGGATGTGATGTCTTCCGATATGTTACGCGCCTGTTGCAGCACATGTAGAAGTTTGTTTAGCAAACTTTGATCCGCAAGAACTTGCTCCGGCTTTAACGTGGGGTCGAAGTCCGCTACGTGCAACGCGTGGTCAATGAGTAGTGGGGGGCATTCTGTTATTGACACCGCAAGAGCTTTCCGTAGGGCATCTTTTTGCTGCTTCTTTGCCTTCTTGGCAGCTGCTACGGGCTGCTCTTTCTGCCGATCTACTGCCTTTTGCAGACCTTCCCGGACCCTCTCTTGAGTGAGTTCCGGGATGCCTCCGTAATTTTGACGCAGCGAAAGGTTATATTCCAGCCCTACTCTTAGCTGTTCGTGCTCTGCTCCCTCCTCTACATTGCGTAATAAAGCCAAGACCTTCAGGTCACCATCTGTGAGCACGATATTTCCGCCTGCGTAGAACTCAAAATACAACCGGTACAGCCCATCCGAGAATTGCAGCTCAATTATACGATCAGTGCCAACTTGTGAGACGGAAGTGACTCTCCGGGTCTTCAAGTATTTGCGTAAGCGAGCGACGAAAGCCGACGGGGCAGATGCGGTGGTGCGGGCGTAGGACGTAAGATGGCAGCGAAAGCCGGATTCGATGATCAGTTGCTCGCGGTGATCGGGCTTGTGGAACTTGAAAAGAAAAATGCGCTACCTCTGGTCAGTAGGAAAGGATGCGTGGCGGGGAGAATAAGAGAGCTTCGCTACCGAGGAAAGATCATAGACATTGGTGACTCGCAGCGGGACCAGCGTTTTGGAAAGCTCGTGTGCAATGACCTATCGAAATCAACAAAGACGATTGATGCGATTATCTAGACCATATACCTTGACATCAAGTGATGAAAACCTCTGCTTCATTTTGTTGTGTGCAGAGTGCGACGAGCGCGTGCGGCGGTGGGGTTCAGGTGGGATGATGACGATGCGAACGCCGCTTACTCGGTGTGGCGCGTAGGGCTGATTAGCGCCAGTGAATCATCCATGGTCCCTGACCTTTCGTATATAAACGATAGTAGAAACGTCACAACTTATGAACATGTCGATTTGAATCTGGCTGGATTGATTACCCCAGGACGAATAAGCAGGAAGCTGATCACGAGAGCGAAGGAGTATATGAGCCATGGTGCTCTTCTAGCTGTCCAAGCCTTGTTCTTTCGCACCTAGTTCAGCCAATCCTCATTATCAGCTAGATAGTGGCAAGAAATCTCCTTATTCCAATCTTGCAGGCTCATGGCCCAACTAGGCTGTTCTTCCACCCATGTTCATAGCTCGACGAAACAATGCACGCTCATCAAATCTATGGCTCAAGTAACCGCGCAGTAGGACTATAGCTAAGCCTTTTTCGTGAGAACGCCTCCAACGCCGTGACCGCTGACCATTGACCGCTTCCTCATAAGCCCTGTCTTATACGCTCTGCTAGCTGTCTCTTGCCGAATTCCATTAGATTGTAGAAACCTTGTTCAGAGATGTCGATGTTCTTCATCGAGGTCATGTCCTGCGCAGGTGGCCGGCTGACACGAGAAGCGACCGTTACAGGGTCCGTTTCCAGAATGATGCCATCGTCTACGAGCTCGTCGACGGCGAGGGACTGTGGTTGTTAGCTGCCATTTCATGTCCTGGCCATTTTACATACCACCAAGTCGTAGTTCTCAATCACGGTGCGCTTGTCCACCGAGTTCCTATTCGTGTCAGTTGAAGCATCGACGGGGAGGTGTAGCAGCACTTACTTGAGGAGGATGTTGAGCGAGTCTCGTAGAGCCAAAACAACACTATACGGCCATGAGTACATATCGCCTGGCAGCACATATTTGCGACTCCGTACCTGTACAGAAGCACCTCATTCTCCTCCGAACCGCCGACTACGTAAAGCATGACATCTGACTCCATCTTGAAGACAATCACCTTCTGGTCGTATAGGATGATGTCCGTAGTCTGCTTCGCCGTCTTCTCTGCGCGCCTGTCAGACCGAGCTGATCCTCTCCTGATGTGATTTCACGCACCTAATAGGCCCTTCTCGAATGATTTCTGGTCCTTGACCGTCTTGTAGGCTATCTGGCCGGGGTAGTCGGTCTGGCCCTGGGGCGGATGTGGGTTCGAGTAGTACTTGGTGAGAATGCGCGAGCCATCGTCAATGGCAAGGATGAGGATGGCCGACA